AATATAAATACAAGGCCTCCTAGGAGGAGAGGGGAGACGAAACAATAGATCAATATACAAGCCAACATACGCCAAGACAAGCCGCCAGATATCAACATTGGAGATAAGCCTAGTAGTCTCCATACGGTACCTACGACTACCGTCAAGAGGGATCTAACGCTATCTCTGATCTCGCCGGACACGGATTTGAGGAGGAAGACTACTCTGTTGTCGACTACGTGTCAGCACTTCAGACAGCCATGTTGACAATAGATAGATAGGCTACCCCAAATATTGTACCGGTGTGATTATGGTAAATAAGAGCAACGACCGGCTACGGCCAACAGGAGTAGGGTTATTACCTGACAATTCAAGGGCCTGAACCTGTATATAAATCATCGTCTCCATCTTTTTTACTATAATCTCGCATATATTCTAGTACCAACGATCCCCATACTATGCAAATACCGGAATCGCGACATCAAACGTCGATAACCTTTTAAATAACATTTAACTATTTATCTTACTAAAAATACTATAAATATGCTAAAATATATATCATATATACTTAAAGTTTTTTAAATGATAAAACATATCACAACAAAATAAATAATATTATATAGAATTTTTTAATAGGGTGAATGGTCAAACATAATAGGTTAATCGTGTCATCTATTATAAAAAAAATAGAGTATATGTTTTAAAGAAAGGTTGGTATGTAAAAGTAACCTATGCGCTTGTTTATTTCCTAACTTTTTCTTCAAACTTCCAACTTTAATTTCCATCGCATCAAAACTTTTCTACACACATAAACTTTCAACTTTTTTCTTCAAACTTCCAATTTTAGTCAAACATATAATTTTGGTATAGAACTAAACACAGCCTATTTGAAATTCCTTTTCCTTACAACTGTACTGAGATCTTGCGTCAGACACAAATGGGCGGCCGACATATGTGAGCACAAATGGGACAAATCCAATTCCTACTCCTCCTGGGCACCTGGGCCATGGTACGAAGCCTAGGAGTAAAAACCAATTAGCCTAACAATATTCCTATTACAGAGAGAACAGATATATCATTGGAATGAAGAAGGGGTCGATGCCTGAAGAATGTTGGAGTACGAATCATGAAGTTAATCAAATGGAACAAATTAAATTTGGTTGGAACACGGAAAAATAGGCTCTCCACAGAGGCACAAGTACCCATTTTTTTAGTGTTCACTGTTATACAAGAGACATATATTGCGTAACTTGAGTAATTGTATTGAGCCTCAAGAGATGACGTATAACAATAGAGATAAGAGAAAAAGATTAGATATGATGAATGATTCTAAACAAATCATCAATCGTATCCTAATATTCCTATAACTGCCATATCTATACTCATTTAAAAGGTCCCAATAGTTGTGGTGAGGGGGGAATTGTCACCATCCACCACCACGGCCATATGGATCCCCCAACCTCAAGCCATAAAATAAGAATTTTTTTAAGTGAAGCAAAATTGATGAGAAATAATATGATGTGAAGATTTTATAATGATAATATTTTTTTAGGCTTTAAAGTCTTGTTTATAGCCCGTTAAAATAAATGACCATAAGTACTATCTCCGCCCATAAAGACTTCATTTCAATTGATAAACATTAGTAATTCCATTACTTATGACATTCTTCAAAGTTTGGTTAGTGTGACCTGTGATTCTGTGTGATTCTACTAGTACTAGCTAAATGTTTGTGCGTTGCAACAAAATTTCAATCTTAAACCATTTTCTATTATCTAACTATAAGATAATACTTGCATTAGTTGAATGTTAGAAATTAGGCTGACATACATTACATAAAATTATTTTTCATTGTCTAATCGAAGATGCCATCATATTTTCCAGTTGTTAGTTTGAGATACATCCCACCAACCCCATTGTTTGGGGCCTTGGGCTCATATGACAGTGATAGTTGACTATTACAGTCACTGCATATGGATCCCACCCTGTTGCCCCACACGTAAGTATCTATAATGGTAATGGCATTACGATAAAGGATGAGAACCCGACAGTGATGTTGGATGGCTGGCAGAACTACCATCAACATTTAAAGTAGTATAGATAAATCAACTTAGGAAACAAGAACAAAGATGTTGCATCAGTTAAAATAATAATCCACACCATGGTTGGGCCAAGTGGTTTAATTTCTTTGGTAAATTGGTTACCTTAGATCCTTAAAAAAATGCCTACCTTTCTTGAATGCGACAGTCAACACCGACACGGGTTTAGCTTATGCAGAAAGTATTATTGTTCAAACAAAAAGGTATTATCGTTGTTTCTATGGCACAAGAAAACGTACACATGCACGAAATGAGGAAATCTCTGCTCATTTTGATGCAGCTGATGGTGACGCAGGACCATTCATCATTCATGCGATATGCAATTCCATTTTTTTCTCAAGCATGTCGGCCAGCTGATAGCTAGCTTGTATTGGTTGATACACCGCTTGAAGAAGGAAGCTGATTGACGATTGACTAATGACCTAGCTGACAGATATCAAAACAATGGATGGAAAATTTCCTCTACTGAACCGTTGTCTACACAAGGCACCAGCTAATTGTAATGCAACGCAGTCGTACGTAGTAGTCTAGAACTGAAAGAAAAGTCATTTCTCTGTTTTGAAAAACAACTACGAGTATTGTTTTCTCTCTTTCAATTTGCTGTATTAATTAGATGGTTCAGTTTGTCATGCATAAACTTTATTTAAATGTGTGGAGTCTAATTTTAAGTATTAGATTATATCTGCAGGAAGTACTCTGTTTCTGGCTTTTTGGGAAGACTTTCTCACTATTGATATTAGTGTAATTCGTATAAAATATGCATCCGTTTTTAAATATGATAAATCACTTTGAACATAATGTTTAACCATTTGTATTATAAAAAATATAAGTAATATTTATTTTTTATGACTTGTTTTATTATTAAATACACTTTAAGTATATTTTTTATATTTGCACTATTTTTTTAATGCCCTATTCGAAAGCAATTGCGATGGTTCCAGCCGTTGCAACATTGCTTGTATTGCTGCTATTATTGTGGCGTTGCGGCTATAGCTGCAATGTAGCCACAACAATCACTATATAAAACATGAGGGCAGCTACACAACGGGATACCGTTGCAACGGGATATTTTAAGTGACTCTCTCTTTTCCTTTCCTCTGTCCACATGTGCTCCCTGGTACCTGATACCTAGTATATCCACATGTGCTCCCTGGTACCTGATACCTGGTATGTCCACGTGTGCTCCCTGGTACCTGATATCTGGTACCTTACCTACCTGGTACCTGGTACCTTTGGTACCGACTAGGTATCGACCGATACCTGATACCTGATACCTGGTACCTTAGGTACCGGTTGGTACCTGATACCTTTGGTACCGACTAGGTATCGACTGATATCTGATACCCGGTGCCAAGGTATTGGGTGGTACCTAGGTATCAGCCTGATACTTGTGGGGTATCAGAGGGTACCGTCAAAAAGAGGAGGAGATGTGGGGGAGGGAGGGCCGCAACGGCGAAGGATGGCATCGAGGAGGAACGGCGAGTTGAGGGTCGAGGCCCGAGCCAGAGAGCGTGAGAAGTCTCGAGGAGAAGCCGAGGAGGAGGTTGACAGCCATACCTGTTGTAAGTTGACGCAGGCTGCTGGCGTCCATCCCGGAGGCGCAAAGCGGCAGGCTGCAGCGGGGACGACGGTGACGCCGAGGCCGAGGGCGAGGACGAGGGGAGCTCCCACTTCTGCCCTCCCCGGGGTGACGAGTCCCCGGCGCAGACCCGACCGACGAGGGCGGCGAGCCAGAGCGGCGCAGCAAGGGGAGGCGAGCTTGAGGGCGACCCCGCTGAGGGTTGGCCGACCTCGCCGACGCAGTGCTGTCGTCGTCCTCCTCGGCCGCCGGAGACGACGACGACGACCCCTTCCTCCCGGCCGGCTTCGTCTCCACTCGGCCTTCTTGAGAGAGAGAGAGAGGAGGGGAGTGAGATGAGAGTGAGATGGGGATTGCGTCGGGTGGATGAGGATGCGGGTGGTCGGATGAATAAGGTTGAAGAGCTATCCCGACACCACGGGATACCGGGGAGTAGATTTTCTCATAATACATAGTTTTATAAAATGAATGGACAAATTTCATACCAAAAGTTAATAGCGTTTTCATACAAATTTAAAGCGGAGGGAGCACTTTACTCACACATTGAAAAGCAACAAAATAGTGGCTAGGTAACACATCTCTATATTTGATCTGCAGGTACCATCGTCTTTTAAGCCCAATATAGAGTAAATAACTTTTAATTTAAGCTAATTTTATTTCTGCCGGACATCGCAATTACAAAAGGAGCTCTTCCCATTTATGTGTGGCATATACTACTACTCCATATAGCTTATTGACTTTGACATATAAAAAAAAGCTGAGCGCTGATTGTGCTTTGGATCAAAAGCAATTTTAAACTTTAAACATTGATTTTTAACAACATATCTATATTTTTCAGCATTTTTTTCCCTAGAAATCATGTAATTGTGCTATTCAAGGAAAGTAAAAGAGCACCTAAAATTAATAAAAAAACAAAATTTAAAAAATTTAAATTAGCTTTAGGTTACAATTATAGCACAATCAAGCGCAGCCCAAGAGTATATATAACCCTGCTTGCTAATGATGGACCCGGGGATTTGACCCAATTATCAGCACCCCCACCTAATTAAGCTACTTTCCACGAGAAGAACCACTCACTAAGCACGATTAACGCTAGAAGCTTCCATTCCAAGCTCCAATCGGTCGTTGACATGACAAGACTCACCACTAATTAATTAATGACACACCTGGTTAGATTTTTGAACACCCATCTGGTCAACCCCACGTAAAACTAACCAAAAAAAAAATTCAAACCCCAATTTTTGACTTTTTAAATGTCAACCCCCACGATTCCATTTTTTTATTCAACGCTCCCCCTATATATACATCTTCGCACCAACAAATCCTCAAATCTTGTGGAAAAGAAATCGAAGAGAGAGCGCCTCTTCCGCGACCTCGCTTCTAGTCCAGAAGCTTCTAGAATATTCTAGATCGTGGTTAGTGCATCCATGGGCAACGGCATGTCTCCGTGCCTGTGCTCCCCGCCCGTGCACGGCGAGGAGGCGGCGGCGGAGGCGGCGGCGGCGAGGCTGGTGTTCTGGGGCGGGGCGGCGAGCCAGCTGGTGGCGTCCGCGGCGACGACGGCCGGCGACGTCATGGCGGAGCTCCCCGGCCACCTCGTCTGCGCCGGCGACTCGTTCTTCATCGGCCTCCCGATCCCGGCGCTGCCGGCCGGCGAGGAGCTGGCGGCGGGGCGGACGTACTTCGTGCTCCCCGCCGCGCGGTTCTCGTGCCAGCAGGCGCTCACCGCCGCGTCGCTCGCGTCGCTGTCGCCGTCCCCGGCCGCGAAGGTGTCCCTCGCCGGCGGCGCGTCGTCGCCGTTCGAGTACGTGACGGGCGACGACGGCATGGCGCTCATCAGGGTCCTCCCGGAGTTCATCGAGAGGGCGATCACCTGCGTGGCCCGCGTCGCGGGCGGCGGCAAGGCGGGCGGCGAGGCGGCGGCCGACGACCAGCTGTGCAGCACGCCGGAGCTGAGGAAGCACTACATGCAGCTGGTGGGCGCGCGGCAGCAGCGGCCGTGGTCGCCGGGGCTCGAGACGATATCGGAGGCCGAGAAGCGGCGGCGGCGGCGGTCGCCGGTGAGGCTGGTCGCGCTGGCGAAGGCGGCGTCAAGATAGCATTGGCGGCCGCGCCAAAAAAGAGTTCGGATTTGTGCATAGATACGGATGGAGACAAGTATACGGATTTGATTTAGTTCTAGCTCATTTTGAAGACAGTCAAATTAGATGAAAATTTGATGCAAAAATTGGCAAATTGAAGAATTAATTGACCGTCCAATTTTGCCGCAAGGCCGATGATACTTCTTGCAGTTCATGTTCATTTGTTTTGACTCCTGTCTCCAGTTGGTCGGTGGAAACGAAATGGCACCATTGGAAACTTCAAAATCCTAATCTCCCTTTCCGAGAGGAGGACATTCACATGATTTCTGGAGAAATTTCACAGCAAGATCAATTTCAACACGAAAAGAGGAAAAAATTTGCATTGTGGCATTAGAATTATTTTATAGTCCAATTTTCCTCAAGGCCGTCAATACTTTCTTAAATTTCATAGTTCCCTTAACCTCAAGAAAGGAAATGGCATCGGAGAGCTCATGTTGATTCCAATTTGATTTCTATCTGAAACTTAGCCCCGTTCCGAACGAAAATTTTCACATGATTTTTGTAGGAATTTTATCAGTAGTTCATTAGTAGGGGAACAGAGAAAATTCTTGTGTTCTCTTGATCTGAATTTCCTACCTGAAAGTTGAATTTTCACATCAGTCGCCAGTTCATCATAATTATTGGTTACTTAGCTAGAGATGGATCGAGTGCATCGAGTAGAATATGGCAACTCTTAGTTAGGTAATTAGGTCATTGCATTACTCCATGTATAAAGCTAGTGAAAGCTCAGTTCCAGACCAAATTGACATCAATCAATTGTCCCGATGAGTACAGTGGGCATAACCAACAACGTTGTTTCAGAAAATTTTAGAGGTCAAAAGCAAAAAATCTTGCATGGTCTACTAAAAATGTTGGAGCTGAAAGGGGACAATGATGCTGATAGAATTAGGGACTGATGAGAAAATGACCGAAATGAAGGGACAAATAAAGATACCAGAGAAGGATTAAGCCATACACTTCAGGCCGGGTGGTGCATGGTGATTTAATAAGATAAATTTCGTCTAATTACAGTCTTCTTTTGACAATAGAATTCATCTCAACAATTTGATTTAGCTGAAAACACCAATAACAAGTTAAAAGATGGTAGCATAAAGTATAGGAAAAATAATTTGATACACCAAAGATCAAGCAAGTTGCACACGAGTATGCCTTCACCATTCGACTACCAACTCTTTCACGTAGTTAATCTCAATACTCTGGTGCTCCTAATGAACCCGATATTATGCTTGCATTATTTATATGTAGGTACCGAAATTTCACCCTAAAAATTTTAATACCTCGAGAAACCTTACTATCTGGAGATGCAAAGTTTTACAGTAGAAAAAAATATGGTACAACCATGTATATATCTTCTTAATGATGATAAGATTACCTCTATCTTTATATAAAAAGTTTTCACACAAAACGCACCGTTTAGCAGTTTGAAAATCGTGCCACGAGTATCCAAAACAAATGTGTTTTGTGTGAAAACTTTCTATATGAAAGTTGCTCTAAAATATCAGATTAATCGATTTTTCATGTTTGTAATAATTAAAACTCAATTAATCACATATTATTACCATATCGTTTTGCGTGAAACACTCGATCTTTATCTTCATCTTCATCTTTAGAAGATTCAAACACCACTACTTTCGACGATTTCTCAACCCTGATAAAGTGATAAATACTCCCAACCTAAGAGTTGACCCCTTGCGATCACCCTCCCGGGTCAAACCACACTTCTCCTCATACCTTGCTCACGCTACACTAATTAACGGAAACAAAAGCTCTAGTACTAGTACTAACCACACTTGTAATGCTAATCAGTGGCAGCGAGAGGTGCCAGGTAGACACCGTGTCAATCACAGCAAGCCGAGCAAAAGATTACGCGAGATCCGCGTCGCCTTTAGCGAAAAAAAAAAGCAGCATCCCGAGTGGATCCCCGGCCATCGTCGTCGCCGAGCCGAGCGTGCGGTGATTTCACCGGCAAATTGCGGCCGGCAAACGATGGGAGTTAGTGCGTGGCCGGCATGCGGGCAGGGGAGGCTGATTGGCCCGGCCGTCTCGTCAGTTTCGTCGTCAGACAAAATAAAAAGCCACTTCGATCGCTTTGAGAAAGTTGTGCATGAATTGACCTAACCTGGGAGAGAAGAAAGATATATCTCTGCATGCGTAGACCACTCTGTGGCTGGTGATAGTCGCTGTGATAAGGTTAGCTACTCGTGTCGTAACTCGTAAGCTGGGCCACACGCTAGCAGTGTTCAAAATTTTGAAAATTTCTACAAAATTTCTCGATTTTCCAATTTCTTGGCCCATGGAATATTCTATTCATATATGTACGTATATATACAAACTTTATACCTGTATGTATAAAGTTTGTGTGCGTACGCATAAAAACTTTATACATATACAAATTTTTTTTATAGGTGTGTATACAAAGTTTATACGTATATAAAGTATATATGAAGTACATATGCTATAGGGGATGGACTCACCTCGAGCCTGCACTCGCGTGCAGTCAGTTGCATGGTAGGTCGCCCCCTCGCAGTTGCCTTACATACTCAGCTGTATGGCTACACCAGTATGTACCACTACTGGAGAAACCCTCTTCTCTCCCAGTTCGCAACCCCTTTACTCCCGGGTAGCGAATCGGGTGGGAGAATCCGAGACTAAAGATGGCGGTCTTTAGTCCCAGTTCAAATACTCGGGACTAAAGATCTTTAGTCCCAGTTCAAATACTCGGGACTAAAGATACATCTTTAGTCCCAGTGTAGCCAGGCCAGGACTGGTTACTACTTTTTTTAATTGTTTTTAATATTGAATATTGATTTTACTCCATCTCCACATCATCCCCAAATAGATCATCATAGATCACAGAACAAAAGAAATCTCCAAATCTTCAAATCGATCATCTCAAAATACATCACAAATTCTAAAAAATTACATCACAAGTTCTAAAAAAATCATCGCAAATACATCACGTGAATACATCACAGACAAACCAAAATACATCTCAGATCCAATCACAAATTCTAAAAAAAAAATTCGCTGGCCCGCCGCCCACCGCCCTCCTAGCCTCCTCCTCCGCGCGTGGGCCTCCGCGCCCCGCCGCCGCCCGCTGGCCCCGCTATCGTGCGCAGGCCGCCGCCGCGGCCCACCCGCTCCTCGCCGGCGTTGTGAGAAAAAGGAGAGGATAAGACTGTGTGAGAGAGGAGGAGTAGGAATAGGAAGATAATGAGAGGATAAGAGTGCGTGAGAGAGGAGGAGGAATAGGAGATGGAAATTTTTGAGGATAAGTGCAAAGGTATTATATACGGTATATTGATTTTTAGTCCTGGTTGGTAAAAATCTATATAAATTTTAGTCCCGGTTGGGAATAACAACCGGGACTGAATTTAGGATCTTTAGTCCCGGTTCATGTTACCAACCGGGACTAAATATCTCTGAGGACCTGACAGCCTTTGACACGAGTTGAACCGGGACTAAATATAGTCCCGGTTGATAAAGATCACATAGTCCCCTTGCACAAATAAACCGGGACTAAAGATGATCTTTAGTCCCAGTTTTTCGAGCAACCGGGACTATTGTGGAAATCGGCCGACCCAGTAAAGATCATTTCTCCAGTAGTGTACTACACTCGATCGAATCAGTCCGGTCGGTGAAACACGATTGAAACGAGGGGACGCGATACCACGCTGCGTGAAAGATTTTGATGAGCCGCTTTAATCTCTACTTGTTTTACTACCATGGCATAGCCTCGTGTCCTCAATCTCCAATATCACAAGATCTACACTAGTGATTGCATATCCACAGATGAGTTAATTGTTGAAGTGGGCAAGGGCACCTCTGTGCTCTCCCTCGTCATGAGGACAGAGGTGACCAGTGGCGAACCCAGAATAAAAGTTACCGGGGGTTTAATACATACTAATTATCTAATTATTGACTAATATATTAATTAATATAGTGTAATTTATATAGGATTTGAATAATCTACCCGATGTCCTGTGACACCGGGTAGTATAACCTAGGCACGCCCCTAGAGGTGACATCGCTTGTGCGCGACGTTGGCTCCTCATTGGGGCAGAAAAGGAAGATGTTCCCCATGGATCAGTACGGCGATGAGGATAAGTTGCTGAAGCTATTGCTCAGTCTTGTGGTCTACGGCGACGCGATAAACATATCGACAACTCTTCGGTGACAACAACGGTGCCAGAGAACTAACCACTGGCATCGGTGGTGCAACATACAACTGTGGGAGTGTTGGGTGCGGTGCTTGAGCCGCCATCTACACCTGCCGCCAATGCCGATGATGTGTTGGCTCCAACTTTTGTGGTCTCGGTAACCAGTGTGGGTGATCGACCATGGCAACAGAGCTGCTCTCATGGCAATCAATGTTCTGTTGTTGACGGTCGTTAAGTGTAAACTTTAACCATCAACTCATGTATAAAAGATATCAAAACTTAGTGGTAGGAGTTTACTACTAACCACTTCCGCTAGTTTTGGTAATTATATGTATGCAGGTTAATTAAGGAGAAAATACACCCGACATAAGACGAAAATGAACCTCTGGCCAATTATGTGTGAGTACAAGGATTGGAGGGCCCACAAATTAGTCAAAACCAACTTAAAATGGGGCCAAACCATCTAACCGCCATAAGGGCCCACCAGTCAGTCTCTTGGCCAAAGGAGAGACTAGGACCTAGGGCCCAGGGTTCGGCCGAACCGTCACTAGCGCCTCTGATCCTGGTCTTCCACGTGTACATCCTAGATTGTCTCTAAATGAAGGTGGTGGGGAGGGGGGGGTGTTAACGACATTTTCAACCGTCATAACCATCATGAGAGAATTTCTTATATGCCACTCCAAATTAGTTAGTTACCTTTTATGCCACTAAAAATGGCATTGGTTTAAGTTTGATTACCCTCTTATACCACTACTTGTTGACTGTTAATAGTATTTAGTCCAATGTCACTTGTCGACGCCCGCATGTCCCAAGCCTCAAGGCTCCAGCTCGTCTTTTCTACCTCCCCTAGCAAGCTCACCCATCATCCCTCACTGCCCCAGTTCAAAGAGGGATTTGGATCGTCTGCCTTTGTAGAGTGAAGGCACGAGCATGCAGTCAGCCCCTTATCCATCATTGAAGTAATCCAACGGCTCACGTCACATGTGCGCTTAAACAGACGAATGAATTTGTCTGTGAAAGACCACGATGGTTCTATCGCAAAAAAAAAAAAAAAAAATCCCACGATGGTTGTTTTGGTCTGGGAAGTGTACGCGAGCTGAAGAAACTTACAAACTATATTAGTGCTAATACACATGAAAAAAATGGATGATATCACCAAATTAAAAATACAAGAAAACCGAAAGTTTCAAATAACAACACTAATTCATTACAAAGTAGTTCTCCATCTTTTTTCATATTATAAGTCATTTGACTTTTTTTCTAGTCAAAAATCGTTAAGTTTGACTAATTTATATAAAAAATAGTAATATATAAAATAT